GCGTGTGTGTGCAAATGCATGATGAAGCCATCTCATCTGTGCATAAAACATAGCTGAAGACAGCTGCACCTCTCCATTTGCCTGCCAGAAATAAGCCTGTTACCAGGTAAGGAACCTTGAAAACACCAAGTTGACGTCTTGTATCGTTGCTTGGATGGATCCTCTACAGTTCAGTGAGGTGTAAACCTCGCAGGAAACATAGAATTCAGTCTTTACGCTCTCTTGAGCACCTGAAATGTAAAAAAGAAACAGGCAATGTGTGGCTTAAAGGATTCTGTCTCACCCGTTGAACTCTCATCTGGTCGGCAATCTTTTTCAGCTCCTTCAGCTGTTCCTCATACAGGAGGCGCAGACCTGATGGCTTCTCAAAGCGGTTCTGGTAGGCCTCGATCTCTGCTTCCAGTAGCTTATTCTGCTGCTCAAGTGATCGAACCTATAAGCACAAGAAAACCTCCTCTGTGATATAGAGTGTGCCTGCACCAAGTATGTTTCCTGTCCATGTGCTCACAGAGGTAAGCGTAATATGCTCCCATTTTTCAAAGAGAGGCATTTTTAGCTAGGCCTGACAAATCATAGACACAGACACGCAAATGGAAGAAGTAAAATGTGGTTAGCTTGAAGGCTGTTTTACCTTGTCAATGTATACAGCCAGTCTGTCATTGAGGACGATCATCTCCTGTCTTTCGCTTGTGCGGGTGCTGAGGAATTCTTGGTTCTCAGCTGCAGCCACATCCAGATCCATAGCAGGTTCTCCACTTGGCCCGACACATACCATGGCTCCTGCACTTACTCTGAACATTCACCGTGAGGCATTTCGAAGGAAGGGAAGATGGCATATCATGAGAAAATGTGAATGTTTCATGTGATGAAATTCCTTGAAAGAGAGCTTGAGGACGAAGTACTTAGTTTCATGAGGTAAAAACAAGCTACAACAACATTATCTGAGGAAATAATAATCTAACTGTACACCCTTCTTACTCATAAACCCTACATCTGTCCATATGTACTGTAGTTGACAGGCCTTACCCTGCTCCAACCATGCGAGTCTTGCGTGCAGCTGAGGCGGTCCTACGTCCCATTGACTCCACACGCATGATGCCTGTCCCGGCTCTGCAGGGGTACCCAGCAGAGGCATGACGGATGTCTCTCCTGGTGGGGGATGGGCTGGACACCCTGACCTGGTAGGATGAGCTGCTGCTGTCCTCAAAGTGACGGCGGTAGGACGAGATCCTCTCCGGGCTGCGACTCATGGTGGCGGCAACGAATGTGTTTCCTCTGGTTCTCTGAAGGGAGATGAAAGAAACTGTCAAGCAGGGTCTGTCTGTGGTTTAAACCTCACGGCTGTTCCACCTCGTTTGCACTCAACCCAGTCTCAGGTTTTATACTTCACAGTGCCAGGCCATGCCCCTGCTCTGTCAAAGACAGCCCAGTTCATGAACCAACACTTGTGGAATCTCGAACCTTTGCATCAATTCAGGCTTGACCTGCTGCTCAGATATCTGTCAGCAGCTTGTGAGGAGCAAAGCTAGCCTGGGATGGTGGCTGACGGCATTGGTGAAAGGTTCACCCATTAGTCTCTCTACAAAATACAGTGTGTGATAACCTCTCCATTTTTATCAGAAGCATAATGGGTTTTGCCAGGATTATGGTACATCCACCACCTACACCTACTACAGCGCTGGGCAGCAGACAGAAAAGAAGGCAGGGTCTGGTCAGTCAGAGCAGCCAGTAGGTGCGGCACTGATGTGATCTGCTCTGATGGGACGAGGGAGTTTAATTGAATGCCAGGAAGCTGGAGGGTGAACTGATGAGGCTGCAGAGGAACAAAGAGCCCTGGCAAGATTTGACATAAATTAGTACTTATTAGTCTGGTCTGTTTTCAACATATTAAAATCCAGAGTGTGCAGAAAAAAGAAATCAGAATTAAGTGCTTCTGAGGGAAAATAAGGAGGCAGAAGAAAGGGGGTGGGGGGTGTAGTCTGGAGTTTACGGTTGACATGGCACAGTGATATGAGGGAAGAAAACAGTGGTCAGGTCTTTTCAGAGCCGTTCTCTATTGACACCTACAGGGTCACTTGGTCAGGGGTCCGTAAATGCAGCACTGGCATTACAATTTACAGTAAACATTAGCTGTCAGCAACATTATGCCTCATAGAAAACACTCAGGTTTTACACACAGAGGGAAAACCATAGAATAACCAAAACAGAGATTACAACCTGTCCAAAAGCTATGTAAAAAGCCAACTTGTAGAATGTTTTTTTCTTTAATATTCTTGTCTGTCTTGAAGGATTAAGCAATCACCTATTATTTTGCACTGACCTCAGATCTTGCAGCAGGGTGGGACTTTTGGGGAGAGGTGGAATCCGTTATGTGAACAATCTATCTCCACTAACCAGCTCTTTTCATGTTGCAACCAAATAACTCATCATTGTGGTATTTTCTATTACAGTATTTATGAAGCCACACTTCAAATGCCAGCACGACCCCACCTCCCACATTTAACTGTTGGCTAAGGTGAACTACGAATACGAAGAATCATTTGGGGTTGCCTTTGCCTGGCTAGAGAATACTGCTTCATACAAGCAGAAATAGTATCAACACTTCTGAGCCAGATTATTTACTCATGCATCTGCAAAGTGACTCAGAGGTCAGTTTCCAGTGATTCAGTATCAACAAGCTGCTTCAGAATTGTATGAGGTGCTTGGACTATTCATAAATCTTGACTAAACTGATCACGAGAATATAATTTGTGTGGAGCTGCTTGGACTTTCAGCTTAAGCTGTAAAAGGGGGGGTTGATAGGGAACAAGGTCCATGGCCGTGGTCGACATGCCGAAGTAGAGGCATTCGACTCAGTTGAAAACAAACACATTCATTATCGTGGATGATGAGGGAACCTGTTAATATTCCCTGGAGGGTGGGTGGCAAAATCATACTGGCACACTTTGGACATTAGACATAGCCCTTCAATGCCATAGATCATCTTTTAGTCCCAGCAGCTGTCACCTCATGCAGCAAGCCAATCTGTGCCCATTTATCACAAATTATGCAAATAAATGTCTTCTCGTGCTTTTTAATAGACCTGTTGAATATTGTACATAACCTGTAAAAAAATAAAATAAAGAATAAAAAACACAAACTGAATATAATCAAACCTATAATTTTATTTATTGAGTGATGTTGGCAACAACTGCACTGACAGTTCCCTCTATTAGCAACAAGCTCTTTAATATTTACAATAAATCCTCATGAAATGTTGAACTGTTCATATTATACAATGGAAGACAATCATATACAGTAAAGTAGTCATTTGCATAGATAGCCTGAAGACTTTAGCACTTCATTGTCCATTATTATTTCTGGTTATATAGCAGTCACTGGTTATATATTTGTGTGTTTGGAAGTTGTAAAGGGTTTATAAATAGTTCTAAAACAAAAGGTTTTGCATTAGTTTTTTAGCAGCAGACATGTGATTGCTCATGTGCGCTGACCCCTCTGGTTTCAGTCTTTGGGATTCACAGGTGAGGATCACTGGCTCTTAAAACAACAAAAAAGTGAATTAACTCTTTAAAAACCCTTTGCAAGATTGCTTGTAATGCAGTCTCACTTTCCAGTCTCATCTCGAGTAATTTCTTAAAAAGCGCTTTAAATAATAACAATGTAGTTTTTTTCTGTTCCATTATCCCTGGATCACTTATGTTGTTCATTTTTCACCCAGTCTTGCCATCCACCCGGGTAATGCTGAACACTGAAATGGAGAGAAAGAGAAAGAAAGTGAATGAATAGTGCTTCAATAGAGATGTGTCCAAAATGAAACTGCATTTGTGTTTTCTTTTCTGGTATAAACCAACACACAGTAATATGCTGCATTTAATAATTTCATTGTTAGCCTCTTAAGCTAAGTAGCCTTTTCTCTACTTCTTATTCAGATACTGGCAATGTGGCAGCTCTCAACAGAGCAATGCATGATAGGTTGGCATTATGCAACAAGAGGTCAATAACCTCAAGCTGGAGAAATGTAATACTGTAGTGGTGAAATAAAATAAAATAAAACAGTGAGATATGACATTCAGTTAACCAAATTCAGCCATAAAAATGTACTGCTACTCTAGCCTTTGTCCAGCCTAGCCTAACGATAAACAACAATAAATCTTTAGTTTAGTAACTTGCGGACTTAACAATGAGGTGAGAATCAATTTTGTTGACAGATAGATGCAAAGAACCCGTCTCACTGTTTGTAACCCAGCGAGGCGGCTGTGTTGAGTGCGTTCTTGCTCCTGACCCCTGCCAGACAGGTGAACACGATGTTATCTGTCTGCTGGGGCATTTCATCACCATACTTTTCTTTGAACTCTTCCGGACTCAGCTGGAAGGCGGTGTTCACCTGTCCCACTGCAATGTCAAAGAAGTGCACACAGGTCAAATATTACCAGTAGTACTTTAAGTGCTATTATGCCAAACAAAACAGAACTAGAAGTAGTGTCAAAGCATTGTACATAGAGACACTTATCAGGATTATCTAAAGAATGCTGGGAGGCATGTCCTTCCTCCTGCAGTTACCATCCAGGCTGAATTCAAGGTCTCTTTAATTTGATTGAAAATGTAATGTCGAAGCAATTTTGCAGAACTTTGCACTAATAAAGGCCTGCAATCATAATCTGAGGCAGAGCTAAACAAGCAGCTATAGTAAACCCCTGAGGGTTACTTGATGTACACATGCTTTGTGTGACAGACTTTATGTGCTGCAGCCTGCAGACAACACAAACGATTGTGTATTGGTTCAATAAGTGGGTCTGTCGTTACATCTGTGATGTTCAGTGTATTTGAGGTGGAACAGCACTCACGGGGAACGTTAACTGAACCGGGGATGAAGCCGTACTCCCTGAGCTCCCAGGGCTCTCTGACATCTACAACTACAGACTTCCGGCCAGCCAGGAGCTGTTTCAGCTGGTCATAACTCACATCAGTGCCCGGTGGCCCTGAACTGAACCTGCGGAGCAGCGACTCTGTAGCTGAAAGCAGAACAAACAGCGTGTGATATATAACAACAGTTTCACAACACGACAGTGACACACGAGTTTACACTCACACGGACAGCAGCAAAGATAACACACTAACACAACTGTAAATTTAAAACTCACTTTTGCAACCGGGGTGAGTTTTGCCGAGACTGGACACAGACATTCGTCCTCCCGGGACGGAAGCCCCAGGCTGGGCGGTGCTGGTCCATAACAGCCGCGGGACAACACCTGGAAGCCTCCAACACCTCCTGAGAGCCATATGTGGTAGTTACACCCTGTGTTAACACACTGTCAACATAAACCCTGAATTACACAGTAATACTGAGTTAGACGACCATTAAATTCACACTCCTCACGTTCACCCTGCCAACAATGACCTGCGCGTGCGCAGAAGTACGGAACACCTGAAGGACAAAAATACTCTCCTTTGACTTGTCGAACTCAAAGGCAAGTCATTAAGCTAATATTTCAAAGGTCAGACCACACAAGAAGACACATACGCAGTATGTTGCCGAAGTAGCTCACATATTTACGACGTAATTATTAAATGCATACGTATGATGCATTCATGATCGTAGGAAAAGCAGTGACAACACACGTCTGTCGACGTCTGACCATTATTTTCATAATATATCCCTTCCTCCTGGTTCTCTGAGGCACTGGGCTACGACTTCAGCTTCCTCAGCTGTTTGTGGTCAAAACAAACTCAAACTACGCCATCCCATTTGAATTATTGCCCAACCTTGTGGCAGTGGATTGCATTTTATGAAGTGAAGTGTGTGTGTTGATATGAGAGACAAGGCAAATCACACATACTGCTAACTTTGCAATCATAGTAGAACGCCTGCTCTTTTTAGAGTTTGATATCTTGACAAACATCACCGATATTTGGTCTCTGTAAATGAATATAAAAACGTATCACTGTTTTTTCACGTGTATTATAAAACATTGAAAAAGCCATTGAACCCCCCCAAAACTTGTGACCCTGTGCCTTTTTCTTAAGATTTCCCATTGTACGTGAATGCAGCATTGGGCCAAACCGAGCTGCCGTAGTGCGTCACATGTTAACCAGGGTTGATGCTACCGACAGCTTGACAACATTTTGAAAGTCGAAGGAAAAAACGAAGAATTATTGAGATAAGTGCTCTGTCGTTGTTGGCACTCTGCGCTTTGCTTTGAAATGTCGTAACACCTCCGTGTATTGTTGGATAAAACACACCAGGTAATGGTTTGTTTATTCTGACAAGCTAATGAAGCTAGCCTGTTTGCTAGCCAGGAAGAGTTGACATCTCACTGTTGGCTTCAGGTTAGCTGACATTGTCAACACAGGAGCTACAATAAAGAGGTGAGTGCACGCCGCTCTTTCGCCAAATCTAATGATCGAAAAGTTATTCATTCATCGTTTACTATTTGTTTGATAAACGACATAAAGGCCTTTCATGCTCACCTACATTGGATCAACGGGGCTAATTGAGGCATCCTAACCGTGTCATTACTAGGTAGTTATCCTTAAATTAACTAATAATTTGCTTGGCTGTATTCATTCTCAGTGACATACTATGCAGTCCGTACGTATTTTGGCTTAGTTCTCCTGTATAATTGTTTAGAAATCATAATCTGACAGGACACAAGTGACTGAAGATACCTTTGGCTGGTCTCTTGTGCATATAAACAGTGTAGAAATAGTCTCAAACATGACCCTCCCAAGTTTAGGACAGTGCAGCATGATCATCATCTTAAACCTACATGCTCACATGGAATTATTAGAGCAAACTAAGTCGCGAAGTGATTCACGTCAGTCCACCTGAGTAGCTGTTTCACCTGCTAAAAACTAGACTGAAGGTGTAAAGCCCCAGGCCTGCCATCACCGGGGAAGACACTGAGTATCTGCTGATGTAGGCTTAGACCCCACACAGTCAGTGGATGCATAGGCATTGCAAGTGCGGTACATTTAGTTTGATTTGTCCCACTAATTTTGGTTTCTTAAAAGTGAGGACTACGGATAAAAAGAGCAACAATTCATACACCGTTCATGTGACGTAAACACTCTGAAATAGCACATTGTAATCTCATAGTCATTGGTTCAATGTAAAGCCACTGTGCTGGAGTACAAAGGCAACACAACAATAAATGTGTTACTGTACAAATACTTCCGGACTGCACTGTGGCTATTTTCCACAGTATTGTGTGCTACAATGAGTAACATGACTGCTGCCTTCAAGTATCTTTGTTAAATCACAGTTATGTCGAGGTTTAACTTTGTGTAGTAGCAACTATGTTGGTCCTCCTCCTTCCAATCTAGAGCTCCAGATGCGGCTAAAGGACCCCTTCTCTTTGAAAGCCGCCGATATGACTAAGCGGACTAATAAACCGAGGAAACCTCGAGATGAGGAGTCATCAGATGAAGTCAGTGGTAAGTCACTGAAGTAGCACAGGGCACCAGACAGACGGAGTTAGTGCTGTGAGGGTTGATTTGGTAGAGTCCTAGCACAGTCGATAATGAGTGGCATTAATGCTTCAGTTATGCTCAAAAAGCACACATCATAGTGCTTTTTAAAAATGACCATGTGATTCACTAAGCACATGCATCCACACAACACTGGTTTCAACTGAACAAGGTTCATTTAGTACTTTTTTGTTGTTGTAGAACTATGAGGTTTTGTAAAGTTATCCTACCAGGACAATAAGTTGTATGTTAATGAAGCCCCACGACACTATGGAATGTAGTATATATGCCACTTTTTAGTGGGGATGTTCCTTCTTGTATAATGTACACCAGGTGCAGTGCACATTGCCTCCCTTCAAAAAATAATTTAATCCCAAAATGGTCCCTTAAAGTTATTGGAAGGTTCATTTATCGTGACAGGATATTTTTTTTTTTTTGTCCAGGGTTGACTTGCCAGCATGTGAGTAAGGCAGTAGACCTGAGCTCAGTGAAGAAATCTGTGCTGTCCAGCGTGTGGTTGGTGTGCTCTGAGTGCCTAAAGGAGAGGACCATGATTGATGGAGAGCCAGCAGCATCCCATGACATCCTGGTGTGCTTAAAGTGTGGTTTCCAGGTAATAATTGTTTTAATTCAGTTTTAAAAAGTGCAAACACAAATACATAGCACACACTGGGGCTGAGCAATGTACTGGATTTCAACAATATATTGATACATTATCATTAATAACATAGTTTAACACTATTGTCAATATCTTAGTAATTTTAATTCTTTTATGTCTATTTAATTGCTCAAGTGTTTACCTTTATGCATCAGTGAGAGGAAGCAGGTATGCGTCAGCAGTGTGTCAGCCACCAACACATTTAGTGCCAATTTGACCGGCTCTAACATTACAGTAAAATGTTGACTTGTGCGTTTTCTATGTTGAAATGACACATAAATGACATAAATCTTTATATAAAGTTTTTTTTTTTCAAACTATCCATTTGATGCAATGTCCATGTGCTGTTGTGACTGTTGTGTGCTGTGTTATTTAACTTTATTTAGTCTCATTATTTTGAAAGTATTGGGTAATGCACTGAAGGTGTGTTTGCATTAGTCTGGTAAGATGTAATGGCATTTATTCCAGACTACGATATATTTCATTTCATATCAACAGAAACAAAAATTGGGGTTAAAAAATGAGCTACTTCAGCTCCGGTATAGCCGCCTCTCTCTGTCGGTCGTCACCACTCTGATTGGTAACACGTCACATGAAATATCCTATCGACACTGAAGGCTACTGTGTCACAGACAGGCAAAGAGACTGGAGCTGCCTGGTGAGCGACTGGAGCTGTGTGTCGAAGGCAGCACATTGCCGAAGTTGCAATAAACATCACAAAATTTGAATGATCTATTTCTATGACAAGCGTGCCCAACTTTTCCCAGTTACGCCACTGAAAATGCCTGAAATCACAGCCTACAGGATTTCACTCCATGGAGGCAAAAGCGATGGCTTTTAAATAACCCAATCATTGCACAAGAGAGTAAAACACAGTCTGTATCTGTCTTGTCTACCTTTTCAATGCAACTCTGGTACTTTAAAAAGTAACAGCAGCAGTAAAATTGTATTTTGCACTATGAAGGGTAAATTTTGCAGTGAATCTGCAGTTCACGTCAATTATATACTGCTTTTATCCAAAGCTCTTTACAAGGTTTTTCCAGTTTATTCACTCATTCACTCACACTCTCACACACCGATAGCAACCAAGTGCTGGCCTCACCATACGGAGCAATTTGGTGTTCAGTGTTGTGCCCAAGGACACTTCAACATGTGGACAGGAGAATTTACCACATGAAAATGTGTCTTTATTAAGGTGGAAATAAGCCATAGTCTTTAAACATGGGCATATGCTCTGTGCTCTGATTGTATTTTGTGTTTGTTAACAAAGATCTTTAACTAAAATATTTTATCTTGCAGGGCTGTAACCAGACAGGGATCCAGCACGCTGTCAAGCACCACCAGGCGTTCCGTCCAGAGTCTCACTGCATCACTATCAGCTTGAGCACGTGGAAGGCCTGGTGAGAAATCTCACAACTGCATAAATTGTAAACTATGATGCAAAAGCCAAGACTGCACACGCTGCCAATGTGTGTCAATTTGAGGTGAAGTACTGTAGGTACAGTGTGTGGGCTTACATTGAAAACAACAGACGCAGGTTTTTTATGCACCGTAGTTGAGTGTTGTGAAAAGGTCTGCCTGATCTTGAACCTACATATTATTTTACACCAGTTTAGTTGTATGAATAATGTCTTTACCAAGAACCTGGTGTCACTCCATTATTGTATTTGATTGTGTTTATAAAGGGTTTCCACTTCAGCCAAGTAATTCTGGTCTCAAAGAATGATTTATTTTAGCATTAGTTACTTAAGGGCTTTTTAAATGTCTCTGTAACTTAAAGCCTTTCTGTGTTTGTCTCTGGCCCCTTCTCATTGTAACAGGTGTTTTGAATGTAATGAGGAGCTCTCCACTCACTGCAACAAGAAGGCTTTGGCTCAGACCCTGGACTTCTTACAAAAGCACTCTGTCAAGGCAACATCAGGTAAGGTGTTAGGCCTCCCAGAGGTCAGGCTCCCTACTAATGTTGAAAAAAGCTTTTATTAGATACACACATACTCACACGCAATTTCAGCAATGGTGAAGTGATTCCTTTAATTTAGCAACTTTGTGATCGGCCTTGAACACATCAAACTTGTTATTATAATCAGATATGAATGATAGGTAATTCTGAGTAATAATCTGCACTTGTGAACCGCAGTACCCCTATGGACCAACTTTGACTGTATACCAGACTTTTACTGGCTGTCATGTTACTAGTACTGTTGAACAGAGTAACTGTAATACAGATTAACCTGATCACGTAGGTTCCAGTTAGTTGATGTCAGTGAACCATTTACTTGCCAGGAATTGACTGCAGTACACCTGCTCCCCCTGGTGGCAGTAATGATCTGAATCCCTGGATTTAACCTGTGTGATCAGTGTACAGACAGCCTATGTGTGTGATGGGTGAGACCACCATGGATGCAACTACTGCTTCTTTGATTTACTAAGCTTCACAGGGCTCACAAAGCATTTTTTTAATGCTTTCATAAATTTAGAATACTACACCTTTAACACTGAAGAGCAGTGTAAATGTCACTAACAAGTAAAAAAACCCCACATAATATATACAGAATATTGCATATTACTTACCATAAAATCATATGAAGATTTTGAGTTGTGATGCAGCAGGTTGTGTTCATGTTCATACTTGACAGCCTGACTGCATACTATCAGTTGTATGCGCTCTCACCCTACTCAGACAACCTGAGCCCTCCTCGCCCAGTCAGTCAACCATATTAACCCCCACCCACCCCCTTTCTGTACTTACACACTCATGCACCTTCTGTTCTGACCTCTCCTAGTGCTGAGAGGCCTCTTAACCGGCTGTAGCTCATCAGGGTGGTGGGCAGCGCCACTTTCGGTCTCAATGGCTGCCTCAGCGAGGCCCAGTTGCCAGTGGCCAGAGGCCAGGCGCCCTGGCCCAGTCAGGCTGGTCCACCATCAGCCTCCCTGCCACAGCTTCAGAGTTGCGGGATTGATGCTGTAGCAATCCCCCACCCTCACCCCTACCCTGCACATTGCATGACTGCACACATTAGAGGAATTAAGCGCTTCAGCGATGCTTCCCGGCTGGGTTCCCTGAAGAACAAGAGCAGCTGCGTGGGGTTCAGCTACTGCCCTGTTGTTCTTTGTCTTTCCATCGCTATCTGTTTCTGTCCCTTGCTTTCCCTTGTCGAGCGGCTGTATGTCTCACCACCTCTGGGCCTGTGTGCTGCACTAGTGGGAGCCAGGGTCCTCAACAAGTCAGAGCGACTGGATTCTAACAGCTGGAGCGCACTAACTCTCAGTGGACACACACTCACAGATACACATACGCAGAATGTAGAAAATAATGATCAACTCAAGCAAATACCCTATTTTCTTTTGATCTATATTATACGTTTGCTGGCCATTAAAAATAGTTTTATGTTTTGGTAGTAAACTTTTCTCATGGTACAATGTATTCTTTGCAACAGAGAGCACACGCTCTCCCTGGAACAGAATCTGAATAACTTTTATTAGTACATTATATACCTGAGGTATTTGCAGATTCTATGAGTAAAATGTTTTTTAAGAGGGCTTATATAGTTTGTGTTACTCAGCTATACTCCGGCACACAGAGAATTAGGGACAAGTAGGACCTTACAGAGTACAAGAAATGAACAGAAGTATTTAGAAATTAGACCTACTATACAGTTGACTGACAAATGTAGACATTTCCAGTTTCTGGGCTATTCCTAACATTTGTGTTTTATATGTGCATATTTGTAGAGCTGTCCTTTAGTGGACATGGTGCCAACCCGGGGTCCGCATTGGTTGGAAACGGTTGCTGAGCTGGACAGTCTCTATCTCCCCTTTTGCATCTTTAAATTACCTGTCACCTTTGCTGCCACCCAATTGTTCCACACCGGTCGGCCAAATGGGTATAGAGGCGGGCAGCCATTGTTGCAGCAAAATAGGCGGTTGTTGTCTGTTGAGGAGCTTGTAAAATTGCATTTCAGTATGAAGGCCATGTTTTCAGAAGAAGCCGCTGTTGTACTGTTTTTCCTATAGACCCCACCACAAAAGATCCCCTAGCAAGGTTTTTTTGTTCAGAATCTATATTAATTTTGCACAACAACAGCTCAGGGTAGAAAGAAAGTCGATTAACGGTGCTCTATCACCATCAAGGCCTTCAGCTCAAGTACCAGAGTCCCACTAAAAAGCGGATTGACCTCAGGGAGCTAGACTCCAGTTTGTAACACAGCTGGGGAGTCTTTGTGGAGCAAATTAAAATGTTGAATAGGCATCAGAGCTTGTTTCTTATTGGAAGTCAATTCTTTCTTGTTTTATGGTTGATGATTGTTATCAATTGTTATATTGCCATACCATTATATTTCTCTACTGTGTGTTTTTGTTTTTAATTTAGCAACTTAAAGAATGAGTTCTACAATTATTAGCTTATTGCTAATAATTATTGCTAGGTCTGTTTTAAAATATGATTCTCTGTCTTCAGTACATTATCAGTATATTATCTTCAGACATAGATTATAGAAACATTATGATACTTATTTCATTTCATAGATTCCTGACATTGTACTGGTTGCGCTAAACATTGGGCGAAACGAATGCTGTATCTATAAAACAACGGGTCTTACCCTGAAGTCCTGTAACATGATATTTTTAATCTTCTGCCCACAAGTTAGTAACTTTTATTTGTGAACTTGTTTCATGTCTTGTCTTTAGATAGTACTGTAAAATCACTGTATTTTTATACTATTACTACAATCATCCCATCATCATATATTAATTAATAATTGAGACAGGAAAATTAAGATTATGGGATTACTGTAGTATTTGTTTAACAATAAGGTGATTTTACAGTATTTGACTGACGTAAGAGTAACATTACATTTGATTTGATTGGAAAATCATAGTGTAAAAATATAAAGGATCTATTAAGAATAATGTATACTATGAACAGTATTCAAAAGTATTTTTATTTGTATTTGTTTGTATTTTATATCTTAATTATTTTTTTAAAAAAAGACAGGAATTAAGGAGATGAAACCATCATCTCAATGGACTTCAGGGCTCCATAGAGTCTGCTCCATATTTTAAATATATTTGAGGGATATAGGTAATAAAACAGTAAAGCTGCATTTGTTAGTTTGTTAGAGCTGGGCCATGTGGCTAAAAAATAATAAAGAAATGGCTTTACAAGGTGAGTAGTGTTTAAAGATATATTCACATTTTTTATGTTATGATTATAGCTCTACATTACCGATACAGATCCACATACAAGCAAGAATCTTGTCAAATCTGGTCCTGGTTATATTACGTTGCAAAGAACCATTACAAATAACCAACACTTGAAATCATCAAAGTCAGTTGTCACAGCATTGAGCACCTGCACACTGTTTTTCAGCTTCCTCTCAAACTTGTGGAATTGTTCTTTTCTTCAGAGTTGCCTCATTCCCAAAGCACAAACACAATGACATATCTTCATAGACAGAGACAACAATGAAGTGCACAGTCAAAGTCGCAAAGATTTGGGAACGGTGCATTATTCTTAAATTCCATCTGTGTCTTTCTCTCTCTCAAACACACACACACATGCACATACTGTACACGCATTCTGTACATCCATACGTCAATGCATACCTACATGCTTAACTTTACACACTACCAGAGTCACAATAACACATGAAAGTTGCATCACCTGGCTGATTTTCCATGTTGTTGGAAAAATAAATAAGTTGGGGATTTATGTCTTTTTGACTCAACTTATGAAACGGCAAAGGTGCCTGTCTGCAGAACACCTTATTAATATAAATAAACAAGGTGTATGTTTCTTTTTTTTTTTTTTTTTTTTTTTTTTTTTAAACCAAAACATGAAATTCGTATTTTTACAGCCTGAGCCCAGTGCGCTGAATTGGGTGCTGTCATGGTAGGAAGGTTATTATATGCTTATAGCCAGGATATTTACATTCTGTTTGTCTGCACTGGCAACCACATTTACACGTTAGAACTTGCATCTAACAGTAAGTCATTTAAGAAACAGTTATTTGTCCAGTTTGTTCCTGTGTTCAATTTCCCGGGATTGATGTCTCCATTGAATTTTCCTCT